CGGCGTAATGTGGATGGGGACAGTGGGGCGAGTGGTTCGCTTTCGCGCCTTTAGTTCCGCGTCGTTCTTTGTGGACACAGCCTTTCTGCCCGCTCAACCTTAGCTGATAAGAAAGTCAGGTAGCTTTTAGTTTTCTGTAGCCTTTGAGGGTAAGCTCGTCGGCTTAGCTATTCCGAACAGTATTTAGACACGATGTAACCTATTCGCTTTCCTTTTCCCTTTCAGGTGAAATTTTGTGAAAGTGAACTCGGTATTCCTTCTGACCGCGCGAGTCTTCATTACACCTCCATGGCGATTGCCGCATTCTTCAGCAACCACATATTCTGCAAACTAAGCGAACTAAAGTGCAAATTTGTCAACATCTTCGACCTCCACCAATTAGCGACGACTTGTTTTGGTATCGGCTTGTTGTTGTTGCCCTTCATAAGGTCGTTCACAGCTATGATAGCGCTTTCTGTACTATTTGGCCTCATGGACGGTGGGCGGTACGGCTTGATGCCACTAGTCGTGTTAGAATGTGTTGGTCAGAAGAGGACAGACCAGGCGTGGGGTCACCTTAGCTTCAGTGTTGGTCTGGCGTCGTGCGTTGGACCCACGTTGATTGGTAGGTAACGTTTAATAATAGGCCTTAAACGCACTCTCGGTATTGGACTGGAAATAGCTTGCAATTGAGGCTCATGCGAGTTAATAACATATCAATTGCATTTGAAAAGACTCCCCACATTAGCCTCAATGCTAGCTAATTCCACTCCAATACCGACCATACCGAGAATATGAACATGACCTATCCAGTCAGCTATGCTAGTCACATCCAAATCTNCTTTACGGAATGGTACTTGCGTCCAAAATGGATTGAGCGCTCAAAAGCCTGTTCCAGTTCTGTCGCTCGCGCCCGTCCTTTTTTTTATTTTTTTATTTTTTTTATTATCCCCACTGTACCAAGAATCTGGAACAGGCAAGACGCCCATGGACACTGGGCGAGACATTTCACTGTCAAAGTTTACTACCAGACCTCGTTCCCAAGGTTTTCTCTGTCGTTAAATTCCAACATGATCTAAAAACCGAGAACAGGTTCTGTCTCGTCATTTGTGATGTGCCTGTTTTGCAGGTTTTATTGCGGACTCAGCGGGAGCCTACGGGCCGGCATTTTTCGCAGCAGGTGGGATAATGGTTTTCGGTTCATCTCTGGTCTTGCTCATAAAGCTTACAAGAAAATTTCTACTTAGACGACAACACGCTTGAAGCTCGGCAACATTCCATGGGAAGCTCTCTCTTTCGAGAGAGAAATTGTGCTGTGATTGCAGAGTGTTTTCGTCGCCTTGCTNTCATTCTCACTGTGCCAAGAATCTGGAACAGGCAAGACGACCACGGATACTGGGCGTGACATTTCTTACCACCAGACCTCGTTCCTTAGGTCTTCTCTGACGTTCAAATCCAACATGATCTAAGAACCAAGAACAGGTTCTGTCTCGTCATTTGTGACTCATTGATGTGCCTGTTTTGCAGGTTTTATTGCGGACTCAGCGGGAGCCTACGGGCCGGCATTTTTCACAGCTGGTGGGGTAATGGTTTTCGGTTCATCTCTGGTCTTGCTCATAAAGTTTACAAGAAAATTTCTACTTAGACGACAACACGCTTGAAGCTCGGCAACATTCCATGGGAAGCTCTCTCTTTCGAGAGAGAAATTGTGCTGTGATTGCAGAGTGTTTTCGTCGCCTTGCTTGTCGCATAGATTTAGCCAAGCTTGAAAGCGGCGCTCCTCAGTCTTTTTTTTTGGGGGATGTTGTCAATCTTACTTATGAAAATAATCTAACATGTGAGGCAAATTTTGGACAATTGTGTAGTTTCAGTCCAAAATAAGTTAAATTGCATCAGCAAAGCTGTATAATGGTGTGGTGATGAAAATAGAGACATTATTTCATGGGCAGATTTCAGTGGAGCCACCAAAAATTTTGATCATGTAACAGAACTGTCATTTATGCTGCGTGGTGGCATTTCTTGTTCTTTCCCACCTTATTCAAAAAGACAAGAATTATTATACCCTTTCTTAACTCCCACACAAAAGAAGCTTGCATATTTTTGTTGTGGGGCATGATTGCGATACGGTAGTTACAACATACTGAAATATAGCGAGGGTTCGAGCTATCAGGAGTAGACTGTATTTACACACTAGGGCACAAATTAACCTTACTGGAAGTTATCAGTGGTTAGGCTGTCCATCAAATGTCACAAATCTCTCAACACTGTCTTCTTGTAAACATACCAATCTTGCATCCGGTTCTCCATTTCGTGCCGGCAGAATATTAATTTATGCCAACGCAGATTATCAACGCAGACTATAAATCAAGCACAATTAATATCATTCCAAAGCCAAAAAAGGAATTATTTAAATAAATAAACTATGAGAGAATTCTCTCCAAGAAACACTGCTTAATTTTACAGGCACTACAAATAATTACTTAATATATATTTAATGTGTACCATACAGTGT